TACATCTCTCTCCTCGCTGGCGGCCGATCTACCTCCAGCCGAGTTCCTGCCTCCCGTCCTCCCCGACGAGCCACCGATGATGTTAGTAACCCGATATCACCAGCATCCATGCCCTCCAGACGGCTTCCATATAGATGTTCCAAAGGGAATAGGGCCGTATAGAGGTGTCCCATTATCTCTTTATGGAAGGGGCTGCCCCGTACGTGCGTGCGTACAACGAACGGATCGCTCTTTCTTTTCTTCACTTTTTCCAATTCCTTTTCCTCTAATATTCTCCCTTTAAAGGAGGAGGTAAGAGCTCAAAAAGGAATTCGAGAAGAACATGGCGGAACGGTGCTTCCTCTGTGGGACATCCGATAACAACGCGATTACTCAGGATTCAGCTTAGAAGATCTTTGTCGGAGGGGTGCGCGCACGCAGGACCTATTTTTCCCTGGAAACCATAAATTTGCAAGGACAGTCATTCAATTTCACACAGTTTCGAAATTCTTCCGATCGAAGACTCGCAGGAGTCTCCTTGGTGTGACGGACCGCGAGAGAATCGCGCGAGAAGAAGAAATCCTCGATCGACGTGCGTTCGGCAGCTAGACGAACACGCTCGACTCAACGCTAAAAGAAAGGAAGAAACCGGGAAAAAAGCAACCACCTCGTAGATAAGCAATTACGATGGAATCCTGAGATAGGGAGGAATTCGAATTCCAAGATCGGTGCTGAGGTGGGGTGAGATAGGATCGACACGGTGCTCCGCGTCGGCTCGCTCGGTCACAGATCGCGTGTACCGTGTCCTCACCACCGACACTCGCAATCACTAGGAACTCATCTCTCCGATCCTGCACGAGCACTTGAGCGCCCTCCGCAGGGCCCTGGACCAGGGAGGGAAGACCGGGAAGACCGGGAAGACCGGGACGATCTCGACTCGTGTACTACAAAACTGTCCTCAGGTATTTCGGAATGTCCTTCGAGCCGGGTCTTGGTGGTCTTTAGGAAGATCGTAGAGTCTAGCGCGTGTCTCGCGTGGGGGCACCCATGGGCATTGGCCTTCGACTTTCGCTCCTCCGAAGATCCACTTTATTCATTCGATCGAATGAAGATCCCGCACCGGAAACCACTCGACTTAAAAACTCTGAGACTCGAGGTTAAGCATTGACTGGAAGCACTGGAAGCGTTCCGAGGAGGATGGAGACTGCTGCCGCGCAGAGGAACGGCCAGGTCACTCGGAAGTCAGGAGTCTCCTGGGGATCATTATAATTTTAAGGGATGCGGCTGCTTAACTTGGGCAAAAGTGCCCGAGCTGCATGGGCACTTTTCACTCCAGAGATTGCAAATCGCATCTTTTCACGAAAGCGCAATAATCGCAATAATCCAAATCTTCAGAAGAGCCAGCGCAGTTCTTGAAAAAAATGCGGCAAATTGAGTGAAGCTGCTCCGGTTAGTCCGAGACTTGGGGTGACTGGCGACTGAATTAGTGTAATACGCAGGACAGATGCGCTCCACTTGCGCTGGACGTAACAGCAACAGCAACAGCAATGGCAGGAGGGACGTTTTATTGTATTATTGGGAGCGCCTGCGGCACCGCAAGTAATACGTGCGCTTCGGCCGACAGCAACGCTCGTATCGCGCGCGTCACGCGTGTATTCGCACTGGGAATCTATCTGTAGCTAGCGTGTCTGTACTGTGTATATCTACTGCCAACTTGCTTGCACGCGAGTGTGCGTATTTACTGAAGAACAAACATATCGCATTACTATAAAGCAACGCCCATCGGTTTCAGTTAGCGACGAGTCGCTGCGCAAGTCCAAACCTTTTCTATTTGCGAGTCTGGAGAGTCGTATTATTCTTTTGAAAATTTACATCTTTCTTTCTTCTTCCTTCTTCCTCTTGCTGTCTCTTGCTGTCTCTTGCTGTCTCTTGCTGTCTCTTGCTGTCTCTTGCTGTCGAGTCTCCACGCTTCTTCCCAGACTCTGCTTAGAACTTTTAAAGATCCAGGAAGCATCTCTGACAAAGTCAACACAAACGGTAGGACTCTCTCATAGATTATTCGGTTTTTGCATCGTAAACTCGAAACGTTTATGCTTCTGCGAGTGAATTTATGTGTTATATAAACAATAAGGAAGTGACGATCCTAAGGGAAGTCGAAGAGGGAGGGTTCCGAAGATCTGTTGTGTCTCGATTCTTTTTTTTTTTTTTTTTTCTTTTTCCTTACCCTCCGTCCTCGGCCTCTTTCGCTTTTTCCCCAAGCGACACCTCGGCGCCCTAACGATGTCTCTATTCTTTTTTGCCGTGCACGCGGTTAATTTGTCACGGCCCAAGTGTCAACCAAGAAGAAGCAGAAGAAGAAGAAGGACGAACGAAGGAGAAACAGTGGCTTTGGGAATCCCAGACTTGGAAGGATTGAAGGATTGAAGGATTTAAGCTTTTAACCGTATTGCACCTCGCACACCGTGAGAGTTCAAGTGCCGAAAGTTCAAGTTCCCATGTTAAACGACCGGCGAACGAGTCGCTTCTTCGAGATGCTTCGCAGGTGCCCACGCGATTTTCCTATCAAAGCGAAATTGCGTTCTGCTTGCAATTCCATTAAATTGCTAGTTCTCCCGTGGGACGGAGATGAACATCCAGGACGCAATAATATTTACGGAACCAAACGGTCACACAAGTACCCAAACCGTATCGGTGGAATAGAGACAGGCTGGGGCCTTATTTTATTTTAGGCTCGCGTTAGATCGGTCAGGTAGTCTGACACCGGATTACGTTACCGGCGTTTCCGAGAGCACGTTGGCGGCTGCACGTCACCTATAACTTTAGCTGCGATGATGCTCGAAGTGAAGGCAGTAGAGGTAGAGCAGAGGTAGAGCAGAGGTAGAGCAGAGGTAGAGCAGAGGTAGAGCAGAGGTAGAGCAGAGGTAGAGCAGAGGTAGAGCAGAGGTAGAGCAGAGGTAGAGCAGAGGTAGAGCAGAGGTAGAGCAGAGGTAGAGCAGAGGTAGAGCAGAGGTAGAGCAGAGGTAGAGCAGAGGTAGAGCAGAGGTAGAGCAGAGGTAGAGCAGAGGTAGAGCAGAGGTAGAGCAGAGGTAGAGCAGAGGTAGAGCAGAGGTAGAGCAGAGGTAGAGCAGAGGTAGAGCAGAGGTAGAGCAGAGGTAGAGCAGAGGTAGAGCAGAGGTAGAGCAGAGGTAGAGCAGAGGTAGAGCAGAGGTAGAGCAGAGGTAGAGCAGAGGTAGAGCAGAGGTAGAGCAGAGGTAGAGCAGAGGTAGAGCAGAGGTAGAGCAGAGGTAGAGCAGAGGTAGAGCAGAGGTAGAGCAGAGGTAGAGCAGAGGTAGAGCAGAGGTAGAGCAGAGGTAGAGCAGAGGTAGAGCAGAGGTAGAGCAGAGGTAGAGCAGAGGTAGAGCAGAGGTAGAGCAGAGGTAGAGCAGAGGTAGAGCAGAGGTAGAGCAGAGGTAGAGCAGAGGTAGAGCAGAGGTAGAGCAGAGGTAGAGCAGAGGTAGAGCAGAGGTAGAGCAGAGGTAGAGCAGAGGTAGAGCAGAGGTAGAGCAGAGGTAGAGCAGAGGTAGAGCAGAGGTAGAGCAGAGGTAGAGCAGAGGTAGAGCAGAGGTAGAGCAGCAAATGTGGCAGGGAGGCAAAGCACTGAAGGGTCAGTTCGCGCGGTTCAATATATCTAGATGTTCCTTATCGAGCTGTCGTATCAACTGAAAATCATTAATTTTGCGGGTCTCTAATTAATAAGTAATGCGAGCGAGATTGGAGTCCTGTATTTTATCTTTCACTTCGCTTCACGTGACGTTGAGGCGCATCTCTCATCGATCCGACAATCGATAGGAATGGACCTGCGACTGACCTCATTAGAGCCGCCACCTGCAGAAAGAAATTCGGACTTTTTGGCTTTGGTCCGTCCTCACCATGGACGCCGAGCATCGATCCGCCGGCCTTCGCATCCCGACGAGTACTTAGCGCCTGGAAACAGATACAGTGCTCACTCAGACTCCACTCGACCCATCCGGCATTAAAACTATTTTACAACGTGCCTCGTCTCATGCGACAAATTTCAATCGAAAAGTCGAATTCCAAGTGTCTTTCTTCCACCTTCTTTCCCATCCGTACTATCAATACGCCAGCATCAAAGTGGCAAAGACTGCCCGTGATGAGCGACACTCGACGGGCCGCTATGTTTGTCCTTCTCTTGCGCGCTCGAAGTCTCGCCACTCTCTCTCTCTCTCTCTCTCTCTCTCTCTCTCTCTCTCTCCCTCTCTCTCTAGCTCATGAACCCTATATATCTATGGAAAACTAGTACGAAAATAGAGATCTAGAGGGCTACGCGAATCTTTCCTTCTGCCGGGTTGGTTCTTCGAATGTCCGTTGTCTCCGTCACGAAATTCCGCCACACATGGCGCTAGTAGTCTTCTGTTCAGTGTCCTTGAAATGCGTTCGACGCTAAAGACCAGGCCGAGCATCGCAGAAAACTACTAGCGCCACGTACAGGACGATAAAGGAGTTAAAAAAAACGCGGAGAGTAAGAAACAAATACAGTGGCGAGCATGCCAGGGGCCTGACGTCCGACCATCGGCTAGTCCGGTGACTATACCATTTTGACGTTTGTCGCTGTTGTTCTGTGCGACGAGACGGACGAGACGGACGAGACGGACGAGGCCGACGAGGCAAATCGATTGTTGGCTCGTTGCATCGTTGTTTTCGTATTCGAGAAGCGATGACGATCGACTATTCGTCATTCGGTTCTAGCCTCTTTTGACAATACTACGGCCATGTGAATCTCTCACCAAAACACCACACAAAATCTCTCGTTATTTTCATTCTCCGCTTAACAAGTATGTCCAAAAAGTCTAAATTTTAGTCTACAGAAGTAAACCGCACATATCGGCAAGCCTCTCGCCAGCAAGCAAAGAGGATGAACGGATTCAGGACTCTATTCCTACAGGACTTGGCATGCGCGTTGACGAGCAAGCCCTTTCAGGTACAGTCCTCCGGGCATCGAAATTAGCTTCCTTATCGGTGAACCTCTTGACCCTTTTAGCAGAAGCCATTTGCAATGCGCTACACTCGCTGTATTTCTTTCTCAGTATGGATCCGCATGTCAACTACACACGGGTTCGTCGTGTCGTCGATTTTGGAACTTTTTCGATTTTCCGAAAATGGAGGAATCGCTCTCCAGAATAGAAAAAAGCTCGAAAGATCTAAGAATTCCATGTGCATCCGCACCTCGAGAACCCGTGGCCACGTCGACGGGCTCGTCGGTTGCGGGAAACGTTCGACGGTTGCCAAGCACGGGCTTCGGTTTCGATGGAAATACGCCGGTGTACCGTGCGACCTGTAACTTTCACAAACCCTTCGCCAAACGAAAAGTCGAGGAAACCTCGTTGCTCGACGGGAATCCCGTCCCGAGGAATCTCAAGTTAAAGCTCCAGGGATACAAGATGCTGGAGAGCGAATTCGAAGGATTCGGAATGGCAGGCCTCGGGGAAGAGAGGAGCACCGAGGACGTTTTCGAAATACGAGGAGACTCGAAAATGAGAGAGAATTCGATACAGAGTCGATCGGCGGCGAAGGAGGCGGAAAGGGAAGAGAGGGCAAGGGAAACGGCCCGTAAGGACGAATCCGTAAACTTGGCTCAAGACCCAAGACTCTCAGGCGAGTCAAAGAACGGCACGGTTCCGTTGCACTCGCAAGCACCGAGACCACCCTCGATACCGCCGCCTCCTTGCTGTCCACCCCCCTTGCCAGCACCCTCGCCTCCAGCTGATCCCCAATGTCCATCCCGTGAGCCTCGCTGTCCCTCGAAGACTCCCGCAGAGGGCTGGTCTCCTCCGAATTCGCATCCAGAGAAACCGACGTGTCCACCTCCGTGTCCCCGAACCTGCACGACGACTCCTTGGGAAGGCGCAGGACAAGACTGCGAAGGTCCTTGGTCAGTGTCAGGACCTTCCTCGCTTGGAACGGCGAGCCAGTCGCCGCCATCACTGGCAGTGTCCTTCCCAAAGGAACCACTGAGATCAGTGGATGCCGCCTGCCCTTTGTCTCCTGCTGCGCCGACTTCCTGCTCGGGAGGCACGCGAATTCCTAGCGCGTCGGTGGCAATGCCATCTCTGCGTCTTAAGGAATCAAGGACCTCGCTCAATTCTATAGCATCCGGACGATCAGTTTCCGGTCTCTCGTCCATCGGCTCGGTCGGAGTCCTGACCAATTCCAGCGGGCAATCGGCGCTCCCACGTACCGCGCGGTCGCTTCCGGGATTGCCGAGGGAATCGAAGAAAGCTTCCGCAGCGTTTACCGCAAAGTCCCAATCGTCCTGTAGCGCGCGGAACGACTGTCCCAAGAGCAAGAGCAAGAGCAAGAGCAAGAGAAAGGAGCCATCTTGCAAGAAGAAGGTGGATCGATGCAAGCGAAAGGGCTGCTTCGACGATGAAAAAGATTCGCTGTGCACGAATAAAGGTGAATGCCCGGAAAGGAAGAGACCTCGAAAGAAGAAATCTCGTAAGACGAGGAAAACGTGCAGCGCAAGAGTAAGCAAGCCTCCCGCAAGAGAAAGAAAGAGCAAGTGCAAAGAGAGAGCCCGAGGGAGCTCGAGCTGCGGCAGCACCGCCCCCGCCGTCTGTCCCCGAGGATCCACGGACGAGACGTGCAGCACCAAGAAGCCGCAGTGCCCTGCCAGAAAGAGGAGCAAAGGCAGGAAGGACGCCGGTACCAGGAAAGGTCCCTCCTGTACCAGGGAACGGGACAGGTGCAAGAGAACCAGAGAAAGATCCTGCGGGAGCAGCAAATCCTCCGCGAGGAGTTCCAGGTCGCCTTGTAGCCCGAGGAGAGCGCCGTGCTCGAAGGAAAAGCGAAAGAGCAGCGTCTGCAAGAGTTACGTGTGTCCTGGGAATGTAGGTCCTGAAACCTGCAGCACGAATAAACCTCAATGTCCGCGAAGGAAGAAGAAGTCAGCATCGAAGAGAAGAAGATCCTGCTCGCGCAGAAGCGACAAGTCCTGCGCTCCTGGGAGACGCGGCTCCTGCGGCTCAAGGTCCTTTTGCAGCCATGTTCCCGGACGCCTTTCTCCGATACTTGGAAGATTCTATGGCCGTGACGTGAGCGCCGGGAAGGATGATGTCAAATGTGGAGAGGACATATTCGCAAGAAAGTATCCAAAGCCAGGACCCAAGTGCAAGAAATCGAGGAGAGAGGGGGAGAGGGACGTGTCCTGTCAGCGAGCGACGAGGACCTCGTCCTGCGAAGGAGGAAGAGGCAAGAAGTCTCAAGTAAATTCGACGAGAGCGAAGAAGGACGACGTGCAGTCCGTAAAGGATCAGTTAGCCAAGGAGAGGGAGGAGGTGAAAAAATGCAAGGAGGGAGGTAGCAGGAAAAGGACAACGAGCGAAGCGAGGAAGCAGTCCTGCGCGAGTGAGAAAGCCAAAGCCATAAGAGTAAGAGAGGATGCTGGATCCAAGGACGGCGCAGGAAAGCCGGAAACTGGAGTGGATCGCGTTATCAGTCCATGTAAGCTCAAGAAAGCTGGCCCTTGTAAGGATACGAAATCCTCGAAAAGTAAAGCAAAGGAGAAGAAGAAGGGGGGAGAGGGAAAGAGGTGCAGTGCATCGGCCAGTGACGTCAAATGCATCGTGCAATGTGCACCCAAGCAGCTCCTGGAAACGACGATGTCTCACGTGGAGCTCCTAAGGAAATACAGTGGTGGAAGCTGTCGGATAGAAAGTTCAAAGGACACGTCGCTCCGTATCCCAGGGAGCCACGAGCGGCCTGTCCTCGAGGATGATCGATGATCGACGCGGAAGGTAGATTTCTAGGTAAACACACAGTGAACCTGCCATTGGTGTTAAAGGAACGAGAGGCACCGCGAATCCTTTTAAACTTACAAGCCTAATAGTCAAAGAAATATTTTTCTATCCTGTCATCGTGTCAATATTGTTGCCAAATAATCAAATAATCAAATAATCAAATAATCAAATAATCAAATAATCAAATAATCAAATAATCCAGTAATCAAATAATCAAAGAATAAAAAAAAATACATTGTAAACAATTAGCAGAATAGAATATATTGGGCAAAGAAAGTTAATGAAAAATATGGCTGCGTTTCGTATAGGATAGGGAGCAAGCAGGTAGGAGAGATTGAAAAGTACTTGAGGTAACGAAAAAGACGGAACGAAGGAAATAAAGAAAAATTGTCCCCGCGGCCGGCTACGATTTCATTTCTCGAGGTTGACAACATGAACGAGGGTAAAGCCCTGATGCAATTACGTGTCATTCAGAGTCTCCCCACGGGATCCCATATACCAGCTCGAATTCTACCTGGCGCCTCCGCTTCAATGAGAGCTTCTGTATTTGCCTACTACTGCCGGGATCTCGTAGGGGGCCCCATGCTGCTACTTATGGGAACGTGATACGCGCTTCTCCTGTTGACCTATTCTCTTCCTCTCACGCTCCATCCCCCCCTCCCCCGGACTAGGAGATCCCGTCGGCACACTCACTGGCTCTCGGTCCAGCAGCGATGCTTCGCGTTTTCGCACTGCGCGTCAGGGGAGCAAATAGGACGATTTCCAGGACGTTTCCTAGAGAAACGATTATTCCTATCCTTTGTCTCTCATCCACGATTCATTTCCGTCCTGTTGGACGCAGTTCCTCTGAGTAAATGTCCAAATTAAGACTGAAACTGAGATTGATCGGCAGGACCGCGCGTACAGCCAGAGAATACATTGCGGTCTCTACGGTCTAGTTATGAAGGGGGAGGCGCTTCCCCTGCCAACTGCAGGGCGAACGACGAAACCGCACGGGTGGCGTTTTACAAAAGTCTGACAGTTTCTGGAAATGCCATAGGAATCCGCTGGAATCCGTGCAGAAATAGCCACGTCACAAGATTGCAGTCGTGTTACGTCCGAGTAACGTCCGTATTATTCTGAGAGACTCTGGCCGAAATAGGAAAATTTATGGATTTCCATATAGGTCGAACAGTCGGTAAGGCTCTATCCTCCTGGTAAGTGGCTTGGTACGGTGGCTTGAAAAGGGTGGTAGGTAAGTGGGCAGTAGGCACAAGCCTCTATGAACTTCGTAACGACTTGGGCCGATGAGAAAATATATCATCGGGGCATGTCCTGTTGCGATGAAAATTGTAAGGCATCGAAAGAAAAGAAAGAAAAAGATAAAGAAAGGCACAAAGGTCGGAAGAGTGAGGTTCTATTGTGAAAATCAATCAAGCTTCTTCGATTCGCTTCCTCGTTTACGAAGGAAGCCTCTGTCCATTGTTCGTTGACGACAGAGACGGAGGTGACGGCGACGACGACGACGACGACGACGACGACGACGACGACGTAGGCCGTTGCCGCCGGGCTATTCAAATTGAAATCCGCCTTTATGCGATGACAATCCAACGTCCCTTGGATCCCAATGAAATCGAACGAGCGCGATATTATCACGATGAGACAGCAAAGCAGGAGAGCGGGAGAGCGGGAGAGCGGGAGAGCGGAAGAGGGCCTGGCCAACCAAAGTGCGTGTGTCTCGCTTCCAAGCGCGTACGCGCAACCACGGAAGCAATTGCGAAGATCGACTTTGCACTGAAAATTGTATTTGTCATCCTGGAAAAAGAAGAAGGGACTTTCAGTGAGGAAATGCAGAAGACCGAAGGCTGCTCGTGGTCGCTCGTGGTCGCTCTGGTCGCTCTGGTCGCTCGTCAGTCGTCCCATGTCAGCACGGAAAGGGGACTTTATGCAAACCACCCGATGACGTCCCGGCCGCAGGCACAGGTCGAGCACGACCGCCCCGAAGAAATGTGGTCAACAGGCATTATTTTAGGAGAACCCCGTGTTTCCTTCCACAAGATGTTTCCTTCCCTTTCCTTCGCTCCGGCGGCTCCGGAGGCTGCGGGGAGACTCGGGACTTTGAGAAAGAGTGGAAAACCAGTGTGCAGGTTATGGATCGCGAGTCTGAGAAAACACGAGGGCCGTTTTGTCGAACGTGTCGAACGGGAAAACTACCCTGCTGCCTACTTGTCTCCCTCGGCCATCCTGGACTGCGCGTCGGCGTCGGCGTCGGCGTCTGTAGGCGTCCGTATGGGGGGGATGCGCTGCTGCGAGATTCAAGGTGGACCCAGATGCGGGATGGCGAAGAGACAGGAAGGGGCACTCGAGGGAAAAGGATGCGCAGTCGTTACTCGGCATCTTCTGCGCAGCCTCAGCGCTACGTCAAGCGCTACGTCAAGCGCGACGTCAAGCGCGACGCAGCGTCTCCGCGTCCCTTATCCAGGCTGCGGTGCCATCTTTGATGCCCTGCGGCCATTTTCAATTCGTATTTCCATTGCAGGGAGATGACCTCGTTGTCCTACTGGGAAAAACGTTAAATCGTAGAAAGTGAGTGAAAACGAGGAGAATGACAGGAGCCATCGGTGCGACGACGCGGCCCGGCGACGATCGACGAGCCAATCGTCCAAATTCCTTCAAATTCGTCGAAACTCGTCGAAATGTCCCTTGTGCTTCGCTGCTGCATGGAGGAGGAAACGTGCGGTGCGCCGCGACGCTGGGAGTCTACAGCCCAAGAACGTCCTCGCCTGGAGCGAAGTGCATGCTACGGGACCACATTGTTCTCGAAGAAAAGGCAGGAGGGAGTGAAAGGGGCTGGTAATTCGTAAAGGCGATTTAGTGGCCGCTGCTCCCGTGGCTGTCGTACGGGAACCGGAAGACCTCACGTAAGAATCCTCGCGGGCTGGACCACGTGAGCACGTACGAGGACCTGCTCCTGTGTTCGCCTGATTGGGCGGTCGCCCAAAGGGGTGCGAATAGTCCTTTCCCTTTTCCCTTCTGGCTTTTTCCCTCGACTAGTCCACCCGCCGCAGGCCTCGTCTTCCTCCTGCTGACTTTACTGCTCGGCTCGCGGTCTTCGCCGCTTCCAAATTACATGCTGCTCAAATGCGGCATTGCGTACAGCCGATTCGTGGATCAGCAGAAACGTCACGTGGGTCCAGTGCGTCCAGTGCGTCCACGTGGAAGGCTACGTGCATTTCTTGCTTCGTCGAAAGAATCGGCGACAGGTTTATTGATTTTATGAACGAATTCTTAAAACCGATTTGCACGCGCGCATGTAAATGTAGGAACGCATCGAGCAGCGACAGTTTTAACCGGCAACAGTCGAGCACGTGTGGGACTCAGGATGCGCGATTTACGAGCGGGCGAAGGGGGCGAAGGGGGCGAAGGGGGCGAAGGTGCCGCATTGCTCTGAGCTTTTCCACATAGGAGACATAAGACCACATATAGTACAGGAGCGACACTCGATGCCTGGCCACGACGGCCACCACGGCTACACGGCCACATTCTTATTCGCCAACGTAGGGAATTGTCGGGAGGGCGAGCGAGGAGATCGACGCCGACGGCGATGCCGGCGACGTCGACGTCGTAAGTTTAATGAGGCTTATTTACGGGCCCCGTCGGCTGAGCCAATGGAATTATAGGATGGTGGTCCGAGCACCGCCTATTCGCCAATAGGAAGAGGCGCGATCGAGCTGTCAGCCCGGTACCGCCCCAGCCAATAGGCTGGTGGCCGCGCATGACAGAGAGAGAGAGAGAGAGAGAGAGAGAGCGAGAGAGAGAGGAAGGAGCCTCCGGGACGTCGGCGTGCGCCAGTCGTGTCAGTCGTGTCAGTCGTGTCAGACGTGCCAGTCGTTTCGGGTGCGTGCGCAAGACAGCATCTCTCGCGTGGCAGCGCAGGAGTGGTATTATCGTTCGCCGGGTGTTCCTCCTTGCGAATCGCCAGCCGACCCCCCGTGAGGCTTATCGGTGTCATAAAAGTTGCGAAGGTTGTGCGTGCGCGCGTTTTACTTAATCATTGCGACAACGTTACGCAGTGATTGTGGCAAACTGAGGATTGGCGAGTGCCATCGATCGAGTCTCCAGAGAGTTCTTCACTTTCCGATTGGCAGTGACAAGAAGAGCGACGAATAAAGTTGATCCTCTACTTCTCGAGGAGGAAACATCGAACGGTTGTAATCGAGTGCTGAGGAACGAGGATCGACTGTTTAACGGGATCCTAATAATAGACGAAGCGTCGTGCGAGAAGCGAGCGCCTATAAATACCCACGAAACACGAGCCCGTGGATAGGACGACGTCGTGCTCGAAACTCGGAAAAATCGCCAGTGCTAATCGAACCGATCTCGGCATCTCGATTGCACCTAGAGACTAGAAAGCTTAACGAAAGAGGAGAACAGGCGTACCGAGGGAGAGAGAGAGAGAGAGAGAGAGAGAGATGTCATCCATAATCTCGGATACAGTAGTCTGGTAATGCAAGACAATTAAGGCCCCTCGGTGCTCTCCTGGAGGATTACGGAATAGTTGCGGTCGCCACTGGATACTCTGTCCGGTCAAGCGCGGATCGAGAAGGAATAATTAAAAAAGCAGCGAGGGACTATAGGATAGCGCACAAGCACAAGCAAGAGCAAGAGCAAGAGAGTGTAGCGGAGTTTAAAAAACGAAAGGAGTGTCCAGAATAGAGCGTCAGAGGATGCAGTGTTAGAACTTTAACGGAAAGCGTAGCTGCCCTCGCGAGAGGTAATACGAGAAATATCCCCGAGTGCGCCGGCAGTCGTCTCGTCGAGCCGCCGCGACACCCGAGACCCACGAGACCCACGAGACCCACTACGCAGCCTAAAAATATCTCTGAGTGCTCGGAGTTACCCCACATCCGCGACCCGACTTTGGGCTTCTCTCTCTCTCTCTCTCTCTCTCTCTCTCTCTCTCTCTCTCTCTCTCTCTCTCTCTCTCTCTCTCTCTACACTCTACTCTCTTGTTCTCCGCGGGCTCCTCTTTCCTCTCCTCGCTTCGCCTCATCTTCCTCCTTCGTCGATAACGCAACGGCACTTTGCTTCCTTTCGTATTTGTCGACTGTCTTCCCTCGTAATGCCTCTGGAAGATTTTGCACAAGAAGAATAAGACACTCGAGAGGAGCCCATTGCTTGGGACGTTTGACAATCGTCGCTGGCGGCTCGAGGATAAATTTGAGGGAGTAGAGAGAATATCGCATCGACTTCGGAGGTGGTGGACATCGGGTGATCCTGATGCCCGTACCAGCATCGTCTCGCGATTGTGGATGAGACGCTGCGCGCGCCTCGTCCAGGCAGTGCTCCACCAGGAGACGGCTGGAACATCTTCAGCGCCTTTGCAAGGATGTCCAGACGTAAATGGCCATCCAACTAGTAGGCAGTCGCGAAACCGAAAAAAAGTATAAGAGCCCCGCGAGAAGAGAGGACACGCTGGCGGACGGAAGAAAAAGCAGAGGCTTGGCGAGCGAAGAAAGAGGATCGGAGGAAGCTGCTTCCGACAGGAATATGCGCCATACTTAGCCCTTTGAAAATATTGATCGAATCAGCAAGACCAAGAGAAAGTAGAGGCTGGTCTCGAGTTCTTTATAGGTTACGTAGCAATAAGTGCGTCAAGAGTCGTAGTGCTCGAGAGGGTGTTTCACGGTGGAGGGTGGAGGAAACGGTGTGCCAGGGGGCGGGGTGGTCCCCGGAGATGAGGTGATGATGGCCTACGGAGGAGCGACGTCCAGTGCTCCCGGTCCCGGTAGCATGGGACCCTCTTCGGTGACTGACGTTCTCGGCTCTACCGGAGATTACAGTCCTCAGGGCACGCCGACCCCACTGGGTGCACACGCGGCATCGCTCGACTCAACAGGGGCCTACGGATCCGCCGGCGGGCCCACTACCTACAGTCCCCAGGACAGCCCGGCGAGTTCCGCCGGCGGCGCGACGTCCAACGGGCAGCTTCCTAGCTTCGGGTTCACCCAGGAGCAGGTCGCCTGTGTTTGCGAGGTGCGTTCAACAGCTACTCTTTATTCGGCCTCGAAATTCTCTTCTTCTCGCTCCTTTTGCTACGTGCGGTAACGAATTATTATTTATCAACCCGCAAAGAGCCACGCTCCCCGCGTTACGCGGAAAGAGAGCACGGGGAATTCTGCGCTCGATAGTCGCACGTCGGACGGCTGCCGAATCGCGTCCTCGCGGCCGACTCCGCTTTTTAACTGGTTCAATGTCCCGAGGAAGCCCAAACGCGGGATGGTCGGTGCGGCCACCGCGCGATGTCTCTCGATGTCTCTCCGAATGAAATCACTCGCAAGATTGGCTGCTCCTATATTAAATCATTTATTCTTCCTGTTGACATCGGGATCTCTACTCGGGATGCATACGTAGCTACACCACGTGCGCGCGCGCGCGACTGAGACACATGGACCTCCTGTTTCGCTTCCCGAGATTCGATTCTCACCGATTTACGTAAACAACAACATTTACGTCCTAAATCTTTCCCCCGTGTGTCGTGTCGTGTCCTCGGACACATTTCCGATTACAATCGATCGACCAGTAGAACGCGAATTCTGTGAACTCTGGCCTGCACACGTTTGCGTTGAATCTTATCGATAGATGAGGCCCCTCCAGCAAGAGCCACGTCAATAGATGCAGATTGCTACGACTAACTGAGTAATAATTCCAAGTAAAGCTAGAGGGAACTCGGAATTAATGATCTCTCTGCGACGCAAAGAATCTTTTCCAGGTCATTGCTGTAGCTTAGAAGAGAAGTCGAATTGTCACCGTTCGATCGGTCGACTCGCTCGAATGGTTTTCATCGTACCCTCGTTTCCACTTCTTTCGCAGAATTCACGTGGAAGACCAAGAGTCGAGATGTGCGCGAATGCGTGTGTCAATTATTGGGCGCGCAGGACGTTCGTCGAGCGAGTCGATTGGCAGAAGCAAAGTATAGAAAGTATAGTTAAAGACGAAATTGCTATTCGTTTGCATCCATTCGTTTGCATGTTAACAGCTGCGTGAACGTAGCGACGCCTGGGACGGCGGAAGGCTGCTGTGCAGAGAGCGTCGGAGGACGTCGCTTCTGGACACGCAGCACCGAGTTCACTCTGGTAGAGTGAAGAAACGCTAAAATTCTCTCGTGCTCTTGTTCCTCGAGAATTCTGTCTCCGTCGCGTGCGCACGGCTAGACGTATAAACCTCCTTGCCTTCGTCACACGGAAAAACCTTCGGCGTTTTGCAAATCGATGGGAAATTTCCAGCCCTCGAAGTAAAGAGTATTGCGAGCTGCTTGAAAGAGACAAGCCGTTGAGAAATTGGCCTTCTTGTGACCCGGTGCGACCCGTGTGACCGTGTGACCGTGTGACCGTGTGACCGTGTGACGTGGGCGCTAGTTGTCTTGTATCCCCAAATTCTCAGGATCCTTTTGTTCGAAGAAATAAAGAAAGAATTAAACAAGATCCATTATCTTCTTATTGGACGAATCGTGGAAGAAGAGAAAATGCAGAATCTCTCCGTCGCTCGTCGAACGAGAAGCCTGTTTCTGGCAAAGTCCGTTCGTACCGCGATTCGCGTTCCTACTTGGCTTTCCGAGCGGAATTTCATGTGAAACGTGAGTCCGCAGGAGCGACGGGGCTGCTGAATTTTCAATCGAAGAATCTCACATACAAGATACACTAGAGTAAGAGGAGATCGCGGGATGAGTTCTGCCGACTAACAGTGTGCCCCCCCTGTCTATCGTCTTCAAGGCGATGGTGTCGTCTGTCCAGGTACTTCAGCAGGCTGGGTCCGTCGAGAGGCTGGGCAGGTTCCTCTGGTCGCTGCCAGCCTGCGCCAGACTTCATCGGCACGAGAGCGTCCTCAAGGCCAAGGCCATCGTCGCTTTTCACCGGGGCAACTTCAAGGAACTCTACAGGGTCCTCGAGAGTCACACCTTCAGTCCGCACAATCACACGAAGCTCCAGGCCCTCTGGCTCAAGGCCCATTACATCGAATCGGAGAGACTGCGAGGGAGGCCTCTCGGTGCCGTCGGTTAGTACCTTCACGTTATAACATGCGTGCGTGCGTGCGTGCGTGCGTGCGCGCGCGCGCGCAGCTCTTGTTCACTCTTGAAAATTCCCTTTTATTCTCTCAATTTTCACGAATCACGAGGGAGCCGCGCGGACTTAAAAGAATTTTACGTTTCTGTCGCATCAAGGAAAATATCGGGTGCGACGCAAGTTTCCCTTGCCAAGAACAATCTGGGACGGCGAGGAGACGTCCTACTGCTTCAAGGAGAAGTCCCGCAGCGTCCTGAGGGAATGGTACGCAGCCAATCCTTATCCATCCCCGCGCGAGAAACGGGAGTTGGCTGAGAGTACGGGATTGACCACGACCCAGGTCAGCAATTGGTTCAAGAACAGAAGGCAGCGCGACCGTGCGGCCGAGCACAGGTGAGTCTCCCGAGTTGAATTCTCAATAGAGCATATATATATATATATATAAGTAACGCGGCCGATTTCGGCGCGATTTCGACACGGGGTACGGGTACTTTACGTGAGACGACGCCCCGCGACGCGCGACGTCTTGGCCAAGAGGGACGGCGCTACACCATGTAGAAGTGCACCATAAAAGCAGCGGTGCTAGGCGTCGTTGTGTCGGTCCTTTGATCGACTGCTGCTGCAGTCCTTTGAGGCGCTCAGGACGTCGGTCGGCATTGGCTACAGCCAACTGGTCGGGCCTATTAAAACAATAACAAGCCTTCCAAGCCTGCGAGGCACCGGGGGGACGCCTTGGCTAGGCCTAAAATTAGCATGGGCCGCATCGGCCGCATCGGCCGCATCGGCCGCATCGGCCGCATCGGCAAACGATAAAGACCTTCGCTAGAGCTTCCACGCCTAAATGCCTAAATACTACCCGTTCGCGGTGTAAATACGCCCTGAGAGGCTTCTAAATTTGCCGCCTTTGCTGCCGGTTTCTACGCGACCTCGTCGTGGGGTGTCCCTCATCCGTACCTCTCAATTTGCACCTTGACCCGTTGATATTCCCCACCGATTCTCCGCGTTCGCCTGCGACCTCTAAGGATCAGCACTCGTTTTTCGTAACGCTCCTGCTTCCTGCTCCTCCTCGAGACTTCACCTGCGTTCCTTTGGCATCGTATTTATAAGTGCTACGGCCATCAATAATGATTGGATCTTCTTGTTGCGTAAGTAATTTGCCAGTGCGCCGCGCGTACCTATACCGGTACGTACGCCGGAATGCCATTCGGACGATTACCGAACTGCGTGACGATCGAAGGGATTCCGAGAAAGAATCAAGTTCAGTCACACCCTCGAGGTTGAACAATTGACAAGGAAGAATCGAAGAATCGAAGAATCGAAGAAGAGAAGTGTCAGAGAGGAGAGCTAAGGTTCCTGTGTTGTCTCGAAGGTCGTTGCTCCACATCCGATTTTAGAAACGTCCAGCGTAAGTCGTGACGCGAGGGACGCCCCGATGTAGTCGCGGGAGCAAGGCAAGCCGACAAATCGAAAGGTAGAGGTTCCCTCGGGTAAGTTGCTGCCCTTAGAAATTGGAGAAATTGTAGAAATAGCTCGCGGGGCGTGCAGCGGGGCAACCCTGATGAGAGGAAGACGATGAGTTGAAGTATAAAAAGTGGAAAATGAAAAACCGAGGGAAAAGGGTCTTTCGAGCGGGAAGGAATACACGGTGCGCTGGCTGCGCCTTCAAGGGAGGAAGTGGGAAGCACCACCGTGGCAGGCTGGTTCCCCAGAACTCACCGTGGGGAACGTATCGAATATCTTATGGCTTCTGTGTATTCCCATAGAAAGTATAGCTGCTACCTAATGTCGACCATATCGAGTAGGTTCCAGGTATCGTGGATACGTAGCCAAAGTATTCGCGACATATTAATTACAGGAAATCCCACAAGGGACGCCCCAAAAAGTTAGCCCGTGCACTGCCGAGCCCCGCTGCTCCTCCACGCGTCCCTTTGACCCTTTATTACAAGAGAATGGCCAGACAATATTGCAAGCGTCCCAGCGCGGTGGCCTCTGGGACTCTTGGCGCATCCTAGCGCCTAGAACACTTCCGATCCCTGTACTTCCCGGCTGAGCCTCGGAACTGGCGCACCGTTCGCCGCTTGTTGTTGTCGCCGCAAGTGAACGGGACGCGTCGACGCTCAGGGGCGGATGCACTCCCTCGGGACAGGAGGCGTCTCGTGGGCGTCTCGATCGACGCGCCGTAAAACACTCCTCTCTCTCTCTCTCTCTCTCTCTCCCCCCCCCCCCCCCCCCTCTCTCTCTCTCACTCTCTGACTCTTTCGTTCACACGGAGGGGGAATCAATACACGAGCCTCCTGGTATTACCGAGGCTCCCGTGCCGTACGACGTACATCCCTTGGGCACTGTTATCCAGCGATTTAACGCTGCTGATCGAGTCTGCTAGGCTGAATTTGATTGCGTGGACGCCCAGCGTCGCTCATATCGTTAGCTGTTCTGGAACAGAGATAGATTTCTTTCTGGTTTACGTCTGCTGTACAAAACTAGCAACGACGCCAAGCGTCCCCGGCAGACGCTGCTCAACTTTCTTCCTCGTAATCGTGATAGTCACGTGTACATCTCGCGACACTCAGCATCTTTTAATCGTCACCCCGCCTAGACGCACACGCTCCTCGTTATTTGATATCCTAGCGAGAAATTGCGCATTTTTCCAGTTGATATTCGAACATGGCGAATCGACGAGAGAGAGAGAGAGAGAGAGAGAGAGAGAGAGAGAGAGAGAGAGCCACACACTCCTATCCTATCCTAATCCAAAGGCTATTGTCAGATAATGATAAAAAGAATGCGTGGGTGACCGTGCGTGAGTGCGTGAGTGCGTGAGTGCGTGTCTCTACTGTGCAATATCTGAGTTTCTCTAGCTGCGATCGTCAAAGATGCGGCGGATGCATTTTGCCAGTCAGGACGGCGACACTCCTGTTATCTCTTGCTTTGCCACCAAGTAAACACGCGCCGCGATATTCCGTTACTAATATCCTCATTGTTACACTATGCATACTGTGCATACTATGCATACGTCCACTCTGTAGATTATAGTATAGGTGCAAACATATAAAATTCTACGAGTCCATAACTCACGACTGGCCTGTGTCCCACAGTGCTCCTGCTTATTTGCTTTAACGTCGTCTTCTCCATTTACGCATCTTGCCTTCACACACAACTAATTCTCCTGCGCTTCTTGTTTTCCTGACTATCGAGGCTTCGCCCTAAGCCACTCTCTTCGTGGTAACTTCTCAAAAGTTTGATGGGTCGTCGAGCGACAAAGGGTTGCGCGCGCTGCCACTTGTACGCACAGCCTGCCTTCTCGTGTCTCCGTTCTCATCGCGATCCAGTCGTTCCAGGAATGGAAAAGTTTATCGTGCAGCCAAAGGTTCAGGGTAATGGGGCGAAAGGGAGGTCTGAGGAGGTCTGAGGAGGTCTGAGGAGGTCGGGTGTTGCGGTCGCGCCGTATGGCGGCAGGCCGCGCCTCAAAAGATGCTCAAACTTCCTGAGCAACTGTCGCGAAACCTTTTGTCTTTTGTCTTTTGTCTTTTGTGTAACGCGCGCCTGCTCCAGGAAAGGCTCTGAAAATGTGCGTCCGTCTTCATCGTCTTTATGGCTGCCGAAAAGTCCCCGTGAGGCGTCCGCTTGTTTTTCTTGAGATGCTGAAACAACAATACAAGGTGAATGGAATGGTTAAGAGCAGCGGGCTATGTGAATGCGGAGCTTTCCGAGGAAGATGATTATGTATGTAGAGGAAGAGGAACCTGAGGAAAGGCTTGGAAAAAAAGGGCCGGAAGTTGTGGCCGCGCATAAGGAAGGTCGATATAATATTGGCACCTAGGAAATAGCAGTTAGTGAACGAAGGAAGGTATCCCGAAGGATTGTGTAACGCAAAGTTTACTAGTATCGGCACACAGTGACAAAGTGTCGTCCACGATGAGGAGGCTGCCGTAGATCCCGTAGATGCCGTAGATGCTGGTGGAGATGCGGCCACCGACGATGTCTTGCAGCTTGCGACGATAGGGAGCCGCAGCCACACGGTAATGGCCTCGTCTTCTTAATTCTCCCCGTGTCAACAAAACATTACTAATGTACCCCATGAAGAGGAAGCGGAGGAAGAGGAAGAAGAAGAAGAAGAGAGACAAGTGGGGGTGGGG